ATGCTAGATTACTTCATAGTTTTGAAGTTATTTCATTCCTCATGATAATTCTCATCTTGCCAAGTTAGTGAATTTTAAGAACTCTGAGAGCAGATTGTGAGATAAATGTGAAATATGAAATAATCCATACTTTTGGAGTCAGGGACTTTCCTCTAGGCATTAGTTCATACTTGACTTTCTTGACTCACACTTGGGGATAAAAATGAGTTAGGACAAGGTCTCAGATACCACATTCCCTTACTGGGAAAGAAAATCCACTTGCACAACTTTGGACAGCTCATGTTTCTTGTTACACAGGCACTAAGCAGCAGCGGTTGCCATAAAATACTTTATTTAACCTTTGCAAAAATGTTTTTTTTAGTATGGCAAGGCAGCTCAGTTAAATGAAAATAAATAGTTTTCAAAGGATTGGGTTTCATTAAAATTCATATCATTTAAAGTATTAATTTTTCTTTCACTGATTAAAGTTGAGGAGAGGTGTTGTAATTGACTGTTTAGAATAGATAATATAAATAAATGAAAGGAGTTTTAAGATTCCTTTGGTTTTGCTGTGGCGGTACAAAGCTAAAATCTCAAAACACATTTGCTTCAGAAGTAAATGCATATAAATAATTGAATCATTGGATTTAAAGTAAACAATTTATTTAATAGTCACTATGCACAGGCAATATATATATTCTATTTTATTTTCTCATATTTTGAAAAACCTCTGCAAATCCCAGTGAGTATGAGGGACTTCTCTTTTTTTAACCTGGAATTTCTCAAAATTATCCACTCCCCAGCATTCTTCCAGCTCCATAAAAGTTCATTTTTTTAATGCTTCATTGATGTAATGTAGTTAAGATTTTACTTCATTGGGAGACACTAGATATCTCTCTCTCACACAAACATATATATATTAGATTTGAATCGTGCATTTGCTCTAAAGTTCTTGACCTTGCATTGGGTTCAAGGCATTTCTGATACGGTTCTGCACAACTTTGTATGTAGGAAACTGGTGAAATGTCTTTACTTTAACAATAACTTAGTGGCAGTATTTGCATGCAACAATAAGCCAATAACCTTGGTTTAGTAACCCATAATGTACACACAGCCCAATTGCTTCCTCTTCCCTCCTCCTCTGGCACAAGTAGGTAAACAAATAGTTAAGCATAACAACCGAACCCAGGATAGTGGTTTGCTTCTCACTCATAGGCCAATATTTGTAAGCCAGCAACAAACCTTGGGTTAAGTCTTGCCAGAGATCTCTGTTTATTAGAGAAAAAAGCCATAATCCCAGAATTGGAATGTTATGCTAGGTTGTTTTGTTTAGCTGCTCATGCCAAGAGAGGGGCAAAGAGGTAGTGATCAAACTGCATGCACTAGCTGGCAGCTTTTACACACTATGGTTTATTAAAGGTTCTTGACTTCTTGTTAAGGGAAATGCAACTAATGGTCTCATGAAAATCTAACTTTAACGTTTAGAAAAGTAAGAGCTCTTCTGAAGGCCTATTTTTCCGGACTGATAAGCAACATGAGCTGCTGAATGTCATAGTAAGCAGCAGCCCATCATTAGAGCCATTCCTTTAATTGTGATTCAAGCTACGGCGGAAGCCATACTGCTCTACAAAGCAACAAGATGTTTGGGCCCCATGGAACTTAAGTGAAGCTCTTCTGTTCAGAGGTATCTTTCCAGTAGCTGCTTCACAACCATGGAGTCTATTACTGTGGCACAGTAGTGTGTCCAGAGGTCTTCAATAATAAACCCAATGCAGAAAAATAATGTGGAAATGAATCTAGGAAACTGCCTTACAGTACATGAGACAGGGTAGTGACTGTCCAAAATTTCAAACTAGGATCTTTGTACTGTTGTGCTCATGAACTGCTTGTGGGCATCTCATTGGCCACTGTGAGAACAGGATGCTGACTTTTGGTCTGATCCAGCAGGATTTTCCTGATGTTCTTAACCCTGTGTCCAGAGATCCCTTAGCTGTGTTATACCACTAACAGACAGCATCTTCCCTCAAACCCTGAGTTCTGTTATGGTTCTTAATAGGTCCAGTAATTTTTGTAAAGCAACTCTACAGAAGATCCATTGTATATAGGGAAGATCTTATCCCTGTTCTTTATACTATTTGTGGCTTCTTGATGTAAAATACAATAGTGGTCAAATTGCTTTTCACTTAAATCCTCTCCTGTCTGTTATCACCAGTCCACATATCCCAGACTGGCTTTCCCTTTCCCTGCTTTATCACTCTGCAACCAGGAGTTTTAATTTAGCAGCACCTCGTGGCATTGATGCCTGGTTCCTTAGCCAGCCTCCTTTGTTGCAGCATCATGAATTCCATGTCTGTGCCAGCCTTGCTAGAACTCACAAACTTTCCCACTTCTGATGATTGGCGTACAACGTTGATGACTTAATGATTCTGAATGGCAACGAATAAACAGTTTGGCTAAAAACTAAATTTAGTAGCTGAAAATGGAAATCATGCAGGCAATTCAAATTAAATATTGAAGGAGAACAAATTGCAGTGGACTCTGTAACTAAGGCCAAAAATGATATGTGAGTCTTAAATGTTCCCTGTTCCTTTTTGTCTCTCAGTCTTGTAATTCAATTTAAACATTTCCATGAAGGCCTTGTGGCTCCTACATCTGTAAATTAGGTGGGTGGTTCTGAATTGGGTTGCACACCCACTAGATGAACAGGTACATAGTCTGGGGATGCTCCATCATCCATCATTGTTGCTGGAGGCACAAGCAGCCAAGGCATCTCAGCAAACACCTTTCACCAGCTTGGCCACTTTGTTCTGTTTCATACCTTCCAACACAACGCAGCCCAAATCTGGCATGCCTTCTTCCAGGTCTGCTCTCCCACACCAGTCACGTGACCCACGTGAGCTAAATTCTCAACAGTTCTCAAAATGTGTGGGGTAAAACTTAAAAGGCAGCAAAGGTATCCCCTAAAGCAGTGGTTTAACTTAATTGGCTGAGTATGATGTTTGCTTATGTGTGCTCAGGCTGCTCATTCTGACTGCCATCTTGGAGTCCTTAGGATGCCCATTTAAATCATAAGGCACCCAACAAGGTGGTAGTAGAATCAGTGCTCGAGTTTTGTGGGGGGAAATAAGGAACCCTTTATGAAATTCTTAACCCTGGCTGTTGAATAGTACCCATGCCCCAGGAGAAGCAGGTTCCATTGGACACCTGGTGATGTATGAAGCAGCAGTGGGAGCATGGAGTCGTGAAGCTCCCACAAATCAGTGAGATATAAATAGGAATTCTTTCCGTAGTACAGAGCTTACAATGTTATCAGATACTCGCTCCCAAGAGTACGGTTTTCCTAGCCTTTTCATGCATTTAACATGAAATGCGCATCAATCTCCGTGGTGCATTGTTAGAAAATAATCAGCCAATGTTTGTAAAACTTTCGATGTAAACTGATAGCATATTCCTGGGTGATATGAGCTGGCTGTTCATACAAGATGGGAGGAGATGCTCCAGAAGGGAAGTTCTGTGTTCAGACTCATCATTATCTATCACAGAGCATTTGTTTTCAATAATTTTTGAGCACATAGGGCCAGCTTTTGTATAGCATACCTACGTTTGTTTGTTTGTTTGTTTGTTTGTTTGTTTGTTTGTTTGTTTTCCCCGCTACCATTCTCTCTCAACAGTTAGCAGCCTTCTCATTTCTTTCATTTTGGGTATGCAGCTTCTCCTCCATCCCCACCACCACACACACAGGAGGCTGTGAGCAACTTGGTTTCAGCCACAGCAGTTGTTTCTCTTTATTCTGTGACTAAGATTTAAATATCAAAGCCATTAGGAGCTTTTATGTCCCAGAGTACATTTTCCCCTTAGGGTATACTTATTATCTTGTATATTTGTGTTAGTAGTCAAGGCCTAACTTTTGTAATTCAAAAGCCACCCACTGTATTGAATGTGTTTGTTTTACAAGCAGTTTTGTGCTGAGGGGACCAAAAATTGCCAGCAGGCTACTGAGTTGTAACATCTTAGCCGTTTGTTATTGTGGCTCCTTCTTAAAGGTCAAAGTCAAACTTCACTGGAAAAAGCATAATTTCAGTCCATTAGCCTTGATTCATTGCCCTTGATGTGTGGGGGCCTTCATTATCTCCTTTTTCTAGACCTTGATGTAACTTTTTTTTAGTACTGTATTCATAAATCAGAAAATTTGTGACTTTTTTTTCCTGGGCAGCAGTTTCATACTGAATAACTATATGATAAACCGGCTTCATTTGGCCTCTATTAAAATAGAGAAATGTACTTAGAAATTCACCTTTAAAGACTGGAAGTTTATTTGTTTAGTTTATTAAATATAAAGCACATGATTACCAAGGTCTATGTTGCTTTAGTACACTGGGTAACAAGGGTCATACGGCTTTGTTTGTTTTTAAAGAAAGGTATTAAACATGTTCAAATCTTATAATGAGAACTTTTGCAGTGATGGGACTTGGGTTTTGCTGTAAGGTTAGCTGATTAGTACAGGTCATCAATTAATGTGCTGCTTGTTTGCTTTTGGTTAGTTATTATTATTTTTTATCTTTTTCAGCTGCTACATATCTGTATTGAAGGTTGGGGAAACTGGCGGTGGTCTGAGCCATTCAGTGTAGATAATGCAGGAACATTTATCAGGACTATTCAGTACAAGGGAAGGACTGCATCACTTATTATCAAGGTCCTGCAGCTCAATGGAGTACAGAAACAAGTGAGTGTTCTTATGCATGTGCATTTTGCTGAGGAATTCTTTTTCCAACAAACATTAAGTTGTCCAAGAGGATGCCACTAACGAAGTAATTAAGTATTACTTACCATATTTTTTGCTCCATAAGACACACTTTTTTCCTCCTAAAAAGTAAGGGGAAATGTGAGTGCGTCTTATGGAGCAAATGGCCTTCAGCGAAGTGCCTCTCCTGCGAAGTGGGAGGAAGAACAGAGCCCCTTCTGTTCCTCCTCCCGCTTCGCTGAAGGGGCTTCGCAGCTCTCACTCTCTGTGAAGGAGAGGCGCTGCGCAGAGAGGGAGAGCTGCGCAGCGCCACTTCAGCGAAGTGCCTCTCCTGCTTTGCAGGAGAGGCACTTCACAGGAGAGGCGCTGCGCAGAGACAGTGGCCAGCTTGAACAGAGCCCCTTCTGTTTCTCCTCCTGCTTCGCTGAAGGGGCGCTGCGCAGCTCTCCCTCTCTGCACAGCGCCCCTTCAGCGAAGTGCCTCTCCTGCGAAGCGGGAGGAGGAATGGAGCCCCTTGATAAGTTCCATCAGAGTTCTTAGGCACTTAACATCACATAGAGTCTTAATTGATTTTAGTGAGCAGCTAAATTCTTGTATGACCGCGGGTGGCGCTGTGGGTTAAACCACGGAGCCTAGGACTTGCTGATCGGAAGGTCAGCGGTTTGAATCCCCGTGATGGGGTGAGCTCCTGTTGTTCGGTCCCTGCTCCTGCCAACCTAGCAGTTCGAAAGCACCTCAAGTGCAAGTAGATAAATAGGGACCGCTCTCTGGCGGGAAGGTAAACGGCGTTTCTGTGTGCTGCTCTGGTCCGCCAGAAGCGGCTTAGTCACGCTGGCCACATGACCCGGAAGCTGTCTGCGGACAAGCGCCGGCTCTCGGCCTCTTGAGCAAGATGAGCACGCAACCCCAGAGTCGGTCACGACTGGACCTGATGGTCAGGGGTACCTTTACCTTTACCTTTAAATTCTTGTATCTCCAAAATTGCTTAAATAGAAAGCATTCACTGTGACGATGCAATTGAATTTAGTATTTAGTTGAATATTAAATTATTGGTATCTGGTCAAAATAATATTTTACTGATGATACTTTTTCATTAAAACTTTATTATCTAGATGGTTACATTTGTGAATTTGTGCCAGCAGCAGTTCAGTAATATACTGGTTCAAATGTAACGTGAAAACATGATTTGGTGGACCAAGATTGTTATAGCTGAACTAGTATTATGTCTCTTTATCTCCATAAAATAGACATTTTTCAGCTTAAACTTTATTGTAAAAATCAATTCATATAAACTATTTATTTGTGTTTGTGTCTCATTGTCCCTGATTTAGATAATTATTTCTGGAAGACAGATTGTGTGTAGTTACCTCTCTGAAAGCATTGAAATGAAAGTTGTTCAGCATTACACTGGGCAGGATGGACAAGCAGTTGTAAAGGAACATTTTGACTGCCTTACACCCAAGCAGAAGCTGCCATCGTATGTCCTAGAAAACCATGAACTAACAGAGCTGAGTGTGAAGGCTAAAGGAGATGAAGACTGGTCAAGAGATGTCTCTCTTGAGTCTAAAGACACTGAATATAGCACAGTCATCCAGGTACACAGACAAATAGTTTGCAGATCAGAAGTTTGTAATTTTCTAAAAAAAAACTAATGTGTTTTCCAAGATAATGATTCACTTAATATGAACGTGGATTTTGGATGAGCATAAGGATACTAATCACCCTCAAACCCATCTGCTAGAAAGAGTGCTTGTTTTCAGGATCGGGTGGGGGGGAGTAGGATTAACCCTTTGTCTCCTGCTACAGTCCATATTGGACCTATCCACCCACCCACTGGGAATTTGCATTGGGGAAAACTCTCATTGATGCCAATAGGAACTTTACTCCTGGTGTCAGTAGGTGGGTGTAGAACCCCTGATCCAGAATGGAACCACAGTTGAAGCCATAGGGTAAAAGCCCCCCTATAACTGCCGTCTAGGTCCTTATCCAGACTTGGGCACCTTCTGTTTATTTAAATAAAAATGTGAAATTGCTAAGTGTGCAAATGGTTTCATGCATAGTTTAGCCCTATCTAAAATAGTGTGCAAAAAAAGAGAGATGGATTTTCTTTGAAAACTGGTCTTCTTTTGACTTGCCGTGTGTTGCTACATCAGATGATACAAAATATTTAGCTCCACAAGGCTACCGTAACCTCCGGCAATACCTATCTTTTTTCTTGTCTGCAGGTGCCATCATCAAACAATTCCATTATTTATGTATGGTGCATGGTTTTGACATTAGAGGCCAATTCTCAAGTACAACAACGAATTGTGAGTACATTCCCCATTGCCCAAATTAATATGACCTCACATGTTCTGAAACAAATTAAGGTCAAACTGACCCACAGCAGAGATTTAGTGACAGTCTGTTAGAGCTGGAATGCTGGATCCACCATTAAAAAGCTGAAACTGTTCTACTGCTTTGATTTTGTAGATTGTTTTCAGCCCTCTTTTTATCATGAGGAGCCATCTTCCGGATCCCATCATCATACATTTGGAGAAAAGGAGCCTGGGACTAAATGAAATGCAAATTATTCCTGGGAAAGGGCAAGAAAAACCATTGCAAAATATAGAACCTGATTTAACCCATCACCTCACCTTCCAAGCCAGGTATAGTATCTATACCTAAGCATGCTGGGCTGCAGGATGAGTTTAGCGTCGGAACAAAAGTTTACTAAAACCACCCGTTTCTCTGGTGGGTAATGGAAATGCCATTGTGCAGTGTAGACTCGAGACTGATTTTTGTGTGTGAATGGACTGTGAGCTCCACCATGGTGCTGAAAGCATGTGCTCAGATGTGCTCTTTTCCTGAATTTTTCTTACAGATATTATTTTATGTATACCACTTAGAGAGCTTTTTTAATTAAGTGGCATATAAACGTTAATAAGCAAATAGGCTAAACAAATTCCAGTTGTGTCTACCACCACCTCTGCCACTGTCTGCAGCTGGCTTCTGTTGGTGGGTCCACATGTCTATTAAAAAAAAATATCCCACAAGCCTGAAGTCTGGTGTAGAGCACACACTCAGTTTCTCTGATTAACCCATGCAATGAATTACATCCTTGCTTTATTCTCGTGGCAGGGAAGAAGATGATCCTTCTGAATGTGCAGTCCCCATCTCGACAGCACTCATTAAGCAGATTGCCACCAAATCAAATGCAGGAGGCACTGCAAATGAAATACTTGCCGATTTCTATGGGTGCTGCAGCTCCCCCCAGTCTGTGTGGCCTTATACTAAGAAGGATTTTGTCAGGTACTGGTGTTTTGCTATTTCCCTTTGGAGTTGCACTACTTGCAATGAAATAAATACATTTGCAAATGGTAGGATCCTAAAACAACTTTTATTTCATTGGAAGAGCATAATATTTTCAGCATTTACAATAACTTTTCAAGGTATATCAGCACCACCTGCCTCCTGGATAGAAAAGACACATCTTATTTTGTTAGCTCCTTAGCTTAAGCAAATTCCAAAGCAGAGAGTGGCTTTTCATATTGCAACATACTGAAAATATTTTTAAAAATCAGAATCATATTTTCAGGGGATCATTTGCTATCATATTTGTAGGACTAAGAAACTGCCAAGGAGACTGAATGCCAGGTGTTGTCCTGAGACTACTTTTAATTCAATTATTTCAAAATGTGACTTGCTTTTTGATCCTTGAATAAAAGCCTATTTCAATCAAAGAAGAAAACCAGCCTAAATCAGGGACAGATTTGCCCTGGCAGAATCTCTTTGTATTTCAGAATCATATCTGTTATCAGGAGGCACTCCAGTGTAACAAAAGCTTTATGAATGGCTAGGATGATAAACTGCAAATCTTACCAATGAATTAACCATTTTCTTTTATCTCTCCTTTGATACGTTACTTGGAAAAGCAGCGAACAGCTCACTCAGTGGGATAGCCCAATGCGAGTGAAACTGTCAGTGTGGAAGCCATGTGTGAAAACGCTGCTGATAGAACTCCTGCCATGGGCTCTGCTGATCAATCACTCCAAGTGGGATCTTTGGCTGTTTGAAGGCGAGAAGATTGTCCTGCAGATACCTTCTGGGAAAACAATGATACCTCCAAACTTTCAGGCAGGCATACTATCCAAAACAATATGCATTGTTTTATTTTAACCATTCTCTTTTCATTTGTGTACAGGGACAGATCAAAGGTTGCAAGGCCCACAACACATCCTACACAATATGTTTTTTATTTGTCAGTACGTGCAAACATAGACAAACATGCAAACAGTGGCAGGCTTCTTCCCCATATGGAGTCTGGGTACATCTGGTCAGTTGTTTTGTTCCTAATGTGGGGCAAGCAGTGAATATTGCAAATTCCTCCTTGGATCATAGTCAGCACATCATTGCTGTGAAAAATGAGAATAGCTACCACTTTTTAAGCTATGAAGAATTGTAAAGGGAGTCTTTAATCAGGAAACGGAAAATATGGTCATTGCATTTGGAGCCCCTAAATAAACTGCACCAAGACCCTTTGAAGCAGCTTACCCATTTCCTAGTTTATAGTAATAAATGGCAGCCATCTACTGTGGATTATTTCAGTGTCTTAATTTTTTTCCTATGAACCATTTGACCACAGGACCTCAAGATGGGCAATTCATGTACAGATTGAATTTTATACTGTACTACCTTGAATATGAGGGATGCAGGTGGTGCTGTGGGTTAAACCACAGAGCCTAGGACTTGCAGATCAGAAGGTCGGTGGTTCGAATCCCCACAATGGGGTGAGCTCCCGTTGCTCAGTCCCTGCTCCTGCCAACCTAGCAGTTCGAAAGCACGTCAAAGTGCAAGTAGATAAATAGGAACCACTCCGGCGGGAAGGTAAACGGCGTTTCTGTGCGCTGCTCTGGTTCGCCAGAAGCGGCTTAGTCACACTGGCCACATGACCCGGAAGCTGTACGCCTGCTCCCTCGGCCAATAAAGTGAGATGAGCGCCGCAACCCCAGAGTCGTCCACGACTGGACCTAATTGTCAGGGGTCCCTTTACCTTTACCTTGAATATACGAAAAGTAATCTCAGCCTTGGCTTATACATTTAGCCAGTTAGGCACTAAGGTAGCATGATGGAGGAGTGGCTTAAGTCCCTCTCTCCTACAAACAGCCTCTGGTGTCAACTAGGACCTGATAACCAAACGCACTCAGGCCAAGTCTGGGCCTCCCCCTGTGTTTTTTTAAGAGTGTGTATGAATAGAATGCCTGCATCCAGACTGTTCTTAGCCTTGAGTACAAGTGCAAACCTGCATGGTGCCAGGAGAGTTTTGTATGCAGAAACTGAATGTGATAGCCGTTGAAATAGGTCATTTGCAAACATCAGAAGTGCTTGCTCCTCCCCAACAATGGAAATAAGTTTATCTTCTGTGAATGATCTTACCAAATGTATGTCTGTTGTGCTCGCAAGAGTGCATCCTCTGTGCAGTC